AAAACGGGTTTTTAGAGAAAGAATGTTTTGTAGTATATAAATGTTGTAAAACAGGTTTTAGAGAGAAAGAAGTTTTTGGAGTATAAATAAAAAAATAATTTAATTTAAATACAATACGTGTTGTGCGTGTACTTGGCGCCTATTTTTACCTTTTTTTGAAAAGGTAAGTTTTTAGAGTATCACACACTTTATATTTAGAATTTTTTATAATACATACTGTAAGTATACGTGTACGTACGTCTTCAAAATAAAAACAACATTATTTTAAGTCATAACATTTCATCTACTTATTAGAATATCTGATGTTGCGACAAAACAATACGTACAGAATGAAAAAAAACATGCAATCTACAATTTTATAAAGTATTTTAGGTTACAAAAACATGAGCTGAAACGTACCCAAAAAATCCCAAATTTGTGTCATTATCTTCGTGTTGGCGCTTGTATTTAGTTGTACGACACTTTTCTATAAAACAATAACGACCCATTATCGTTCTATATTTTCTACAAACATATGTAAAAGAAGTTGTAGCTTTTACTAAGACCTTGTTTATGCGGGCAATTTTGCCTGTTTAACCGTTAACTTATGTCGGAACCAATAAAGTTTAACTATAGGATTTCAATACTTCTGTTTATACGTATTCAATAATTTTGTATAAACAGAAGCATTAAAATTCTATAGTTAAACTTTACCGGTTTTGGCATAAGTTAAAGATTATTGCCTGCATAAACAAAACCTAATCTTCCCAGTTTCCAATGTACAGATCACGGCCGTGACGTCATGACACTTTAGTTCTTGGTATAAGGCCATGGTGGCACTCTTTACACATGTTGACTTCAACTTTTTTTTGCCACTAGCAGTTCAGGTTTATATAGTCAAAGGTAACGTCACGCTCGGCTGTTCGGCTCGTGGAAGAGCGCAGACATATTATGTTCTGCTTCGTTTCCACCAAGCCCGCTATGCGAGCAAAACACTGGCTAGAAAGACACGTTTCACGTTGCGCGCTTGTATCGTATGACAACGCAAAATGCTTTTCCAAGACTAAGTCTTGAAAAAAGTATATAATATTATTGATAAGAATGAGTTAAACATCTCAAGATGCATTTATTATAATATTTTTATTAATTCTTAATATAAGTTAACTGTGTGCTAATATTTAAAAGTTTTTAGAATATTGAAAAACATTTAATATATATGTAAACTATATTAGTAGTATTAATAATTGTTCTATATTTTTAATTTGTAAATCACGAAAAGAATCTACATTTTACAGAAGTATAATCCTAAAGTATGTAATTCATATAACATATCATATGAATATAATATATTCATTAATTGAATTTTGTACAATATAAATTAAATATTTTGTGTGAGATTATATGTCTGAAAAATGTAGATTCTTGTCATAATTTACAAAACAAAAATATATAAAACAAGAACACTAATAACTTGCAATATTCAAAGAACTTTTGAATTTTTTCAGTTAACTTTTCAGTTAACTACTTATGTAATAATTCCTAAAAAAAATATAATGCATCTTAAAATGTTTTACTATCATCAATAATATTACGTAACTTTTTCCAAAACTGTAAATCTCGGAAAAAAATTTAAAGTCCAGGTTTATATAGTCAAAGGACGTTACGTACACGGACGGCGGTTCTTGCTTGTGTGCGTGCCTCCACCACTTCGGTGCTCTTGGTGCTGGCCGGCTTAATCTATCATCACTGGTCCCAATAATAGTTTTAATAACAGAATTTTCTTTTAACCATCACTACCTGTGGACTACCGGCTTCATTTTTACTTTAAAAATTATAAAGTATACTTAAAATAATATAAAAAATATATATGTTTATAAAAGAGATTTAAGAACTTGATAATGAATCTACGGACACATTTTGTCCGTCATTGATAGACAATCATTATATGTAGAGTTCGCTTTGTGTGAAAAGTCAAAAACTCATGTGGAATTTGAAAATAAAAAATATTTAATACAAAAAAACTTGGCCCGGCTGCACCGCGTCAATTTAAGGGTGCTTTCCAGTTACGCACACAGACGAAACTGTGTAACACAGTGTTCATTAGTGAGGAAGAACACATATGTGTGTGTTATTCACATTAGTGAACATAGTATCGCCCGTGTAAAGCTAAAAAGCACCTAGTTTTTAGTGCAGCCGCGCCAAGTTTTTTGTATTAAATATTTTTTATTTTCAATTTCCACATGAGTTTTTGACTTTTCACACAAAGTGAAATCTACATGTATGATTTAACATAGTTTAAGATTTTCCACGCAAGGAGATCATTTCTTATATCGATAGATGGATTTCTTATATCGATGCTTTATATAAAAAGTACACTGGTCACACAATATTTTAAACTTTCTATTGTTTTAAAATATATTTTACACTAACATATAAACAACTTACAAAGTTTTATATAATATTTTATATTTTGTAACAATGTATAAACAAGAGTTTACTTGGTGCTACTTATTGATATCATTTTTTTTGTAGAATAAATTTTTATAGTAATATTTTTTCTATAGAGATACAAGTTGCGCGTGTACTTGGCGCTTTTTTACTTTTTTTACCTTTTTCATCTTATTTTGTTTGTAAAAAATTCTTTCACTTCGTTTATGCAAGGTTTCTTTCACTTCAATTATGCAAAATATTAGTGATAAGTTACATGATGTATCTTAGGAGCAAAAACAATAAATAATGTGCACATATATATTTTCCAAATGAAAAGATACGCCTAATGCATACATTATGAAATACATTTACAAGCCATATAATTAATTAGCTTTAATTGTATGTATTAGATAATACTCACATAAGTATATAATCAATTAATTAAATGAAATATAGATCAAATGAAATTTTTTGAAGCTGTACGTGAATTAAATCGTTACAGTATATAAGCGCATGACATATTTTTTGATAATAAGTAGAGTTCAGAATGTTTTAAATATTATAAATATAATAATGTTCTCAATTAAAGAAGCCAATTTGTACTAATTAAATATAATATATTCATAATATAATATATTCATGCTTATAATATATTCATTTTTTCTCGTAAATTTTTTCGAAGAACATTACTATTAATAAAACAATTTTGTTTGCTGAGGTTTTCAATAAATAAAATAACATGCACTACTAGAATCTTCCTCTATATATCCATTATTTATTATGTACTTAAATGTTTCATGTCTCTTGGTCTTTTACAGAGATTTTAAAATAATCGTAGGTACTTTCGATGAGCAAAACCAAGAAGCAAAATCATTTGTGAACCTCAAAAAAGTGTATAAATAAAACGATTACCGCTATTCTTGTTTTGGTATCTTTATCTTGTTTTGGTATCTTTATGCTTTGAAACTCAAATATTCTTGCATAAATTGAATTCTGCACAAAAAATCTGCTTGAATTCTCTCTCTCTCTCTCTCTCTCTCCCCCCCTCTCTCTCTCTCTCTTCGAATGTAAATTGTAAAAATGTATTTTTGATTTTTTTGTTATATTAATACCTTAAATTATTACCTCCATTTTCAGAATACGATAATTGCAGAAAACAATTCTATAAATACCAACATCAATACATGTGCTTAATGAGAGATATCTTGCATAAATTATTACTTATATATGTCGCAGGGAGATGATAAAAATAGGGATTTGATCAAATCCCTAAGGTATATGATCAATTCACGGAAAATGGTAAAATAACAACTCCGTGAGGTGATTTTCCTAAAGAAAGTAAGTGATTTGATCAAATCCCTTAACTGTTTTAGTGAAAAGATGAAATAAACAAGTCAGGACTATAGATGCCAGATTTCGGCCGCTTGGTAGAAGTTTCTTTGAAGAAATTTAAAGACGTGTTAGTGAATTCCACAGTTTTGGTGTATGTACCTAAGGTAGATAGAGGCCCATTAGATGGAAATAAGATCGTGGGGATCGTATTAGATATAAAAAATAATTTATACCAAATTAGTACCTCAGTTGGAATTATAGAAGATTGGCTACCTAGAAACGCTCTTTAAATAGCTACTACAACATTTACCAAAACAGTTCCACAGACTAACCTAAGTCTGCGTGAGATTGCAGGAAAATTATCCGTATTTGGAGGTCAAGGATTTAAGAAGTGTTCCTGTGAACAATCCAAATTACTTTGTAACTCGAGATGCTACAAATCAACAACGTGTTTTAATAAAAATGAATAAACATTATTATTTATTAATTACATTCACGAAAAATGTTTACAATTTCACTAAAAATATTTTTTTTGTTTTTAAAAATATCTGCTTAAGTACCTATTTCTTTTGTTAATTAGTTTCGAATAAATAATTTGTGTTTCAATGACTATTGTTGTATTAACTATTCTACATTTAATAATGCATGGTTTAATAAATAAATACTATTAATATCTAAAAAATAAATACTTTTAATATCTAAACAATATTATTTCATCTTTTCACTAAAACAGTTAAGGGATTTGATCAAATCACTTACTTTCTTTAGGGAAATCACCTCACGGAGTTGTTATTTTACCATCTTCCGTGAATTGATCATATACCTTAGGGATTTGATCAAATCCCTATTTTTATCATCTCCCTGCGACATATACAATATAAATCTGAGTAAATATAGGCCTCTTTCATAGCGATTTCATTTCGATTGACATAAATATCATGTTATATGACCTTACACCAATACATATATACAGGGTGTCCCAGAATTGGTATAACATCTCTCGTAGACAGGTGTAAAACCTTCTCGTAGAAGGAGTAAAACTGAGTCGAAAAGTTCTATACCATTTTGCTTGATTTGCAATAGTTACCGACATCTTCATTCGCGGATCTTTGTTAATGAAGATCTCTGTAACTATTGAGAATCTAGCAAAATGGTATAGAACTTTTTGACTCAGTTTTACTCCTACCTGTCTACGAGAGATATTACACCAATTCTGGGACTGTAATCCTGTATATATACAGGGTGTCCCATTTTAAAAGATCCACTCAAATATCTCAGAAACACTGCGTTAAAGTGACCAATATTTTACGACTTGGAGACACAAGATAGATTTGACTTTGGATTGCGTTGTCAAAGTCAGGGCAAGGTCACTTAGACTTTTTTAAACAAAACCCTCCAATTGTCATTGCATGTTCTCGTAGCTTACTTCAAGAGCTTTTTAAAACACTATAAAGTACGTTTTTGTTAAGTACTTTTTGAGTTATAAGGCTTGAAAGTTACAGTACCGTCGACATTAGCATTACCCAAGATGTACCATGCGGAGGTTGCCCAGTCGGATTCACATTTCTTTTGTCTTCTGAGAAAGATCGGAGGATAATCCAGCCAATGAAGGCAAGATCGGTAATTGACCCAGTTAATGGAAACAAGATTGGAAGATAATCCAGTCAATGAAAGCAAGATCGATAGTTGATCCAGTTAATGGAAACAAGATCGGATCAACCATCCATTTTGCCTTCATTAGCTGGATCATCTTCCAATCTTTCTCGAAATACAAAACAAATGTAAATCTGAGCAACCTCTATGTAGGACATCTTGGGTAATGCTAATGCTGACGGAACTGTAACTTTCAAGCCTTATAACTTAAAAAATACTTCACAAAAAAGTACTTTATAGTGCTTTGAAAAGCTTTCGAGGTAAGCTACAAGAACATATAATGAAAATTTGAGAATTTTGTTTAAAAGTCTAAGTGACTTTGTCCTGATTTTGACAACGCAACCAAAGATCAAAT